CCCCCCCCCCCCCCCTTTAGATACGCCCCTGATGTGTGACATGCTGTAGGGAAGCTTTACATTTGTAAACAAAATCCTCACTGAAAAGCATTTTCGTTTACTTTTACTTCCCCAAAACCATACCAAGTAAAATATATATCTATATAGAGCAGCCCGCATTATACATACACACAGCTGTTTTGTGGTTGTTGTTGTTGTTGTTGTTTTTCTTTTTTTCTTTCTTTTTCTTTCTTTCTTTCTTTCTTTCTTTCTTTTTTTCAAGTCAGCCATAACTAAATTAATTATTGCTGGCCAGACCAAAGGAAAATTTTAAAGAAGATTTTAAAAAAGACTCACACTATCTTTAGAAAAACAATAAGCTGGAGTTTACTGAGTCACAATTCAATTCTCCATAGTAAGTTGATGTAGCTTCAGTTTAAGCTGCACTTCATTCTTATAATTTGGGATCTGTAAATCACTATCTGTGATAATATAACATTCTGCAAAGAAAACTAACGAGCTGCGCCCAGCGTGATACAGCATTGCAGAAAAACATTACACTCACGGACTAAAGAAACACGCTTAGTTATTCAGATCCAGAAAATTGGAACCCTTATTCAGCCGTAATAAAAAAGCTTTACGCTTCAAAAAGAGGTCAAAGAAAATGCGCTTGCCTCAGAGGGCAAATCCTGCCGACCAGAAACAATAACTACAGAAAATCGATATGTATGTCATGACCTCTCAATGTGAAACATGCGGCTAAAATCACATTTGCTCAGAGTAAATGTAGAACCTTCCAGAGCATAATCTACCCAGCAGATAAAAAAAAATGCAATGGAATAAGCAGAATTTTGGCATGAGGTAAAAGTCGTGTAGGCCTACCACCTCCTTTTATTGCTATAAATAATTTAAACAGTTATTTGTATATGCTAATCAGTGGAAGGCATACTCATTGTCTGCATGTTCCGTTTTTGTTTCATTGACAGATCTATGGACAACAATCATCATCGACATCATCTCCTCGGGACAAGAGGAAAAAAAAAACATCCTTACAGTGAAACCGGTTGTTCGTTTGCGCGCCACTTTGCAATATTGTCACGCACTGATGGTATTTTGGTGGGCAGTTTGCTCCGAGCAAGTTGCGATTCAAATTTCAATTTGCTGCCTGAGCAAATGGTTTTTCATATTGGAATATTGTGAATTGACTGCAATGGCAAGCAGTCCAAGCAACATTACCTCTGTTTCAAAGAGGGAAAAAGTAATTTCCCTCTGGTCGTCGGGCTATCGAAATAAAGAAATATGCTCAAGGCTTCATCTTTCACATCAAACCATCTCCAATATCCTTTCAAAGTTTCTGCAAAATGGGACGGCGGCTCCGGGAAAACCAGGATGGAAAGAACGCACAGTCGCTACTCCAAATGTGGTGGAATTTGTGGAGTATTGCAAAGTTTTCAAACCAAGCACACGAACTTTTGAAATACAGCAGGGCTTACTTGCCAACGCCATATGTACTCCAGCTAATCTCCCCGCTCGCTCAACAATATCCGATATTGTAAGACAGGGAAAGAGGGAAATTACTTTTTCCCTCTTTGAAACAGAGGTAATTTTGCTTGCCATCGCAGTCAACTCACAATATTCCAATATGAAAAACCGTTTGCTCAGGCAGCAAATTGAAATTTGAATCGCAACTTGCTCGGAGCAAACTGCCAATCAAAATACCAACATTGGGTGACAATATTGCAAAGTGGCGCGCAAACGAACAACCGGTTTCACTGGAACAGAATAACCATTGTCTTCCATCACTGTGTCTCTTCAATTTGAACATTTCAGTAGAAACAAATTACGTATGAGTTTGATGATTTGTTTGAAATGCACGAAGCTTTCCGCAGAGGTCTTATTTGGAAAAATGCGTCTCAAATACAATTTCACCAGTTTTACAAACTACTGCGAGATGTCTGTTACAAAAAATTGCCATGTACATGAGTTGCTGTCTCGGCAGTACTCCTTTCTATTTCTGAAAACATCTCGACCTCGTCCGCCATACTGAATTTAAGAACGCTTTCCCCCAAATTAGGTCACGTGAACGAAAATTTGAACAGCGATTGGCTCGTGGTTTGTTTTGGTCGAGGTTATCAAATTTGATAACGATCCCGGACTGTATCTTAATTGCTTTTGTACTTTTCACTTACCAGTACAATCTCCCTTGACACCTGAGCCGTACATCCCTTTAGGGCATGCGCATTTGTAGTCTCCGTACACTAGACCGCATGAACAAGCTGCTACATCGTCGCAATTGTTGTTGCATTTTTCAGCACCCACTTCTCTTATCTCCCATACCTGCTCGTAAGGATCTGTGTTGAAAATAACAAATAATAATGTGTTATAAAACGGTAACGAATCTCTCAGTCAGTTAGTTATTTTAGCCCCCTACCCCACAAGCAATTCGATACATTTTTCTATTGGCTTTTGCGTTAAGTGGTGCTGGCTTTGTGGTCGTAAGGGTTTCCAAAATGTGAGTTGTTACAAAGAAATACTGTACTATCAAAACCAATCAGAAGTCGCTTATGTTTCAGACTTGTCGGACTAATCGACACCAATCCCGACATGGTTAGCAAACAGTTCGTGCCTCGTGGTCACTAGAGTACCACGAATTGAGGCTTCTAGTGTCGGGCTTATTCCACGCTAAACCTACACAAGCTTGATCATTCTTTTCGTTTTTGTTTTTTTGTAATCGTTTCAGCGACCAAGAATGTTTTTGCGAGTGAATTTCGACGGCAGAAATGTTTTAGAAAGGGAAGTGACAATTTGGACAAATTTGGACAATCAGTTTCGAACCATTTGTTAAAGAGTAAAATCGATGAAAGCCATATCCTTAAAGCGTGACGACTGTGTTTTGGCATTTCACCGAGAAATCACCCTTGAATTAATGTTACAGCAGGAATTTTTTTTTTTTTAGGGTTTTTTTTGTGTTACGGCAATCACCGAATAATAAATTGCTTTTATATATAAAAAAAATATGTTTAAAAATTGATTAGGAATTAACGAACGTAATTTAAAAAGGCGTGGTGTAAAGTGTAGAGTTGAATTCCGATCTTTTATTTTAGCCGTAATTCAATTTAATTCAATAGGCCATTTGCACGATGGCGTCATTTTACTACTACGACCAGAATTCTCTTAGGTTTCCTTTTCGTATTTAAATTTGAAAGCCCCAGTGAGGTTTAAATAACAAAAGCCCTAATTTGCACAAGAAAGCAAAACCCTGGAGGATTCTGGTCATAGTAGCAAAATGACGCCATCATGCAAACGGCCTATTCAATTCTTTATTTCACACTATATAAGATATTTACACAAGGGTACGTAGGTAGGAAAATAATAAAAGTAGTTAATACATAATAATTAACTAAATGACATTAAGTTCATTTGTGTTCAGTGTCCAAAGTAGCAAGAGCTTTCTTGTTGGACACCGTCATGTTCAGACAATCGGCAGCAGTAAAGAGAGGAAATAAAATCTCAGATAATGTCATTGATAGAATAATAAACAAGGTCAGAATTGGTTGGTTAGAAGATAGGACTTCCACTCTTTCTTAAACTTATGATATAGACAGACACTTGAGACCAGGCGGTGCAGTCTCCCAGATTTTTGGAGCGGAGAATTTAAAGGACGTAAGGTTGAAAAATGCACAGCTGAGCGCACCAAAATGGCTCTCCAGTAAGGAGACGTCTAATAATGTTGTGTTTTTATATTGCCTCCTCAATGCATTATTCGAAAGCATTTTACAGACCGTTAAAATTTGTCTAGAGAATAACAACTCTCATTCACAAGCAAACACTTTCTGCCCTAAGAATGCTTGCAGCTAAGCTTATCTTGTACTGGAAACCATTGACCAAAAAGCTAAATCCGGAGAAATCAAACCGAATCCGTGGTGGAGGTACAGGGGTGATATTTTTGATCTATGAACCCAGGAAACTACTAAACTGGATGAGTTTACTGCCTTCATTGATTCTTTATATCCCACTATCAAATTCACCATTGTCTCATCGGAAGCCTCATTCAATCTTTTGGATCTCATCTTATCGTTAGTCAATGAATTAAGTAATAAATCAAAAACGAGTGCGAGTGTTTGACCTGGGTATCCAGACACAGAGAAACAGATGAAAACCGAGTGCTTTTATAGTTTCGAGGTTTCTGGAGACCCCGGTCAAACACTCCCTCCTCATGAAGGAGGAAATGAATTAGGAGACACCTTTCCCATTCTCTCTGAATAGTTAAATGTATG